TTGGAATTTGCTGGCGAACCGGCGGCAGCGAATCAAGGGAAACCTTTTCTCCTCCCTCTCATAAAGATTCAACAGATTCAAAGCGCGCTCACGGAGACCTATCCTATCCGTGCCCTTGATGCCTCGCTTGTCGCTTCCGAAAACGTTCTCGCGCCGCGTTCACAAGAGACAATTGAATGCTTTCAAGAGGCGTTACAGCGTATCCGCCGACCGGATCCATCTGATCCATCTATAGTTGCCGACATCGGGTGTGGAAGTGGATGCTTGACCCTGTTAGCACGACAGGAATTAGGTGATCAGACTGAAGTGTATGCATCTGACCTGCTTCCAGAAGCGGTGGCAACGACGAAACTGAACATTCAACGACTCCTTCCAGATTCAGACGCTATAGCGGTTGTGCCCGCCGGTGATCTGTTTGATCCGTTTTCTTCACATCAATTTGATGTCATTATCTTCAATGCACCGTGGGTGGTTGCTCGCGTGCGCAACCGCGCTGAACTCGCGATTCACGATGAAAAACAGCAACAGTGAAACGATTTTTTGCACAGGTCTCAGATTTTCTGAAGCCTGATGGCACTGTTTTATTAGGCTATGCAGATGCCTCAGGACCTAAGGCGATTGAGAATCTGGAGAGCGATCATTGCGGAAGCCGGTTTTAGGGAGATGCGGTCTTTAATGAGGCGGGTTGCGACGCATAGGTCGAAACGGAAGTGGGAGCAGATTCGGGTGTATGCTTTACGTCGGAAGTAGAGGCAGCAGATTCCCCATTTAACTTTGTGGAAAACGGTTTTTTGCTTTGCCCAAATATTGCCTTTCGGTTGACAAGCAACCGAGAAAATGGTATGCTTAGAAATATCTACGTGGAGGTTGTGAACTTGAGCAGAGCAAAATACCCCAACCGAGATGTCTGCTAAAAAATCGACACTTTGAGCACTACTTAGATGCCATGTTCCAGTTCGTCAGTGATGTTTTAGATGCCAATCAATCAGAGATAATCTTAGGTTGCAATAAGCGATGACCTCCGAAAAGATATGGATGGGGGGGGGGGGGGGGGGGGGGGGGGTTAAGATATTGCAAAACTTATTAGGAACGCTGGTCATGGTCTTTTAAATCAAAAGGAGATTTAGATTATGATCGCGATGATATCCGTTATTATGATGCCCGGAGTGTAACAAGTTTGATAATAAAGGGTCGAAATCAAGTGTCTCATCAACTATTGAGGGAGTTGGATCGTGAGTTCACACGGTCTCAACTGTTTCTTATTGCTGAGATACTGGGAAACATTAAGAGATCGGATGCCCACGTGAGGTTGAGTCATTCGAGACAAACTCTTTGAGGCGGTTGAAATAGCAGCGCAGCGAACAACGAGACTGCCGAGGCAAATCACACTCCCAAGCTTCCGCGTGCCAATGCCAAAGTAACTGTGGAAGATGTTAGCGAAATCCGGTCTCGGAGCGCATCCGGTGAATCAAACAGTGATCTTGCTAAAGAATTCAACAAAAAGCGCGAGAAAAAACCGAGCGTCTCGGAACGTTACAAAACGGAAACGACAGTCGAGACTCGGGACGATATTATCTGTAAGGTTTCGGATTGCTGATAAACATAATGGGGTCCAAACGGTTAAGCTGGCGTAGCATCCGCGAGAAACTGGGGCTCAAAAATGACCAGTTTCACAAAGTTATCCGCTTATCCGAGGGATACCGCAACGCAGTTATTGAGCGGATTATTCCCCCTCAAACCGCTGAGGGCGGATGGGAATATAACGGCAAGCTCTCGGTGTTAACGGGTATTGAGGACATTGAGAATTACCTCGAGTAAGTAAAAAGGTTTGGGGTTTACCTTAAAAAGCCCCACTTTACAAAAGCCACCCCGCAAAAAGGTGGTTTTTTTTTATTAAACATTTTATCGTCTACTGCTATCGGGAATATTGTACGGCGAAAAACGTGGAAGGACGTGGAGTAGCGATCAATACTGAGTTAAGGAAGTAAACAATAATTGTGAAAGGAGGCAAATGATGGAAACCGATATACTCATATGACGGTTTAGTGCAGACGGAAATTTATAAACCTACGTATACTACGATCAGCCTGTCCTCTTCTCTTGTAAAAGTGCGGCAGGTCATCTTTACCTTGTTGTGGCTACTGATAAAAACGATGAACATGAAACTTGGCTCTATGTAGGGGTCTCCGCTGAACGCCTCAACCTCATCCGATCTGGCGCAATTGATCTCCACGACGCATTTGCTGAGCCTGAAGATGGTTTTTTGCTCCAGGAAATAATTCCATACGACGACCAAACCCAACCCCGGATGGAACCGATCCAACCAGATCTGATCTCTGAGGATATGCTGCCAATGCCGGGTGAATGTCTTAATCTTGAAATCGAAACACTTCCTGTGCTAAGCAATGCGGAAGAAATAGTGAGGATTAAGGATCAAGACATTTTAGATCTAACCGTCAATTTTGCTGAAGGTCCTAAAACGGAGGCACCTATAGGGTTTTTAAGCAACGTTTTTGGAGAACTCCAAGGTGTGATTAACACAATTGGAATGATCTATTCTAATTCGGATCAAATCCACTTTGAGAAACTTCAGAGAGCATGAAAATTTCACTATTACAAGTTGGTGCTGGTTCATTCAATATTCGCCTTGCCTTGCCAAAAGTCAGTCAACTTGACCTTTTTAACAATTCTGATTGTGGAAAGGCAATAGAAATATTTTTTGAACTCCTCAATGCCAAAAGCAATAATGACGAACTTAAAAAACTCGTAGGACAACTGAAATTAAAGGTTGCCAAGAACTATACCAAGTTCCTCAAATCGCTTAGTGAATCTGTAGCGGATACCAGATTTACATGGAAATCGCCTAATCCGGATCTAGGTGGAAGTGCGTACCTGTCTAAACCGCAAATACAAAAAGTAATTGAAATTCTTGAGAGATTTCAAGAAGAGACACCATTAATATTCAATGTCACGGGTAAGTTAACTGGTGCCTTTCTAAGTAACAAAACATTTGAAATAGAAACTACAGACAGACCTTATAAAGGAAAAATCACAGATCAGGCTATTGAAACTGTGCGGAATGCGACACTGAGCCGAATCTACACTGCAGAGATTCAAGAAATAACTGAAAGAAGTGAAACTACGGATGAAAGTTAAGACGAAGTACCACTCCTTAGTCTTAGGCGATAATCAATGAAACTTGAATAGTTTATGGTAGATCCTAAAAACAAATAGACACTTTTTCCTCCCGGTAGGCGAGGTTTCCTAACCTCGCCGGTGTAGAGGGTCAGAGTGTCCACTTAATTCTGAAATCTACCATAGTTTGCCAAGATTGTTGATCCTTAGCGAAGAAACAATCCAGAGGAAAGAAATTCATTCACTCCGTGAGTCTAAGATGCCCAATCTAGCTTGAAAGATTATTGCAGCCCCGATCCGGAGATCGAGGCTATAAGCAAGGTTAATCTTGAACTATGGACACCGATGTTCCATCCTGTAACCGGTGTTGTTCATCCACAATCACCTGTATTCCCTTGGCGAGTTGCGAGGTGACCTCAATTTCACCGCTGTAAACGCCTCCGACATTTACCTGTTTCGTGCGTACCACGTTCCCCTCAACAGAAAAGATAGTGCCACTGCCATTTTGGATATTCAAGACCGAGCGCAACGGAAGCAGTTGTACGTTTTTCCGTTCACCGGTTTTGATAGAGACTGTAATAGCGGTTCCGGGTTTTAGGTGGTTTTTAGAATTCGGCACTGTCGCGTGCACGAACACGGCATTGTTGTCAACTGTTGGGCTGATAAAGGCAATCGTGCCGACAATATTCCGAATACCGGAATCCGTAGAGATCAAGACGAGGTCGCCGTTATTGATGCGCCGCACGTCTCCAGTGGGCATATTCCAAACCGCTTTGAGCACATCTACTGCAACGACTGTAAACACCGGTTTTCCTGTAGGCGATGAGGCGAGTTGTGCGTAATCTCCGAGGTTCAGGTGCAGCATTGCGATAACACCATCAATTGGGGATTTGATAGTTGCATCACTTAACTGCTCCCGCGCCAACTTCAGTTGTTCTATGGCTTGTGTTACTGCGGCTTTGGCGATATCAATCTCGTGTTCCCAGGACTTTGCTTCGACGAGTTTCTGTGCCGTGTTGAGGCCGGCTTGTGCTTGGGTAACCTTCGATTCCGCTGAAGCGATCTCGCGTTCCCAGCCTCGGCTCTCCACAATCTTTTGAGCGACCGCTAATTCTGCTTTCGCCTTCTCCACGGACGGGTGTGTTGAGTCTTCCTCAAACTGCCCTGCTGTAACCTTCGCTTCTGCTAAACGGGTCTCCGCCAATTTCAAGCGTTTTTCTACTGCTTCAAAATTGCTATCACTGATGAGTTGTTTGTCGTGAAGTGACTTGTTTCGATCAAAATTCGCTTTAGCATCATCACGCTCCACTTTCGCGCGTTCCAACGCTTGTTCCGCATTTGTTTTAGATTTTTCAATTGTTTCTTTGGCTGCTTGATATGCTATCTCTGCCTGTGTGAGTTGATTGCGGATGCGCATTTCAGCGAGAGATCTTGTTTCTACAAGTGTTGCTTGTGCTGCCATTAACGACTCTTGTGCAACTGCTAATTGGGATTCAACACGCGCTTGCGCACTGGCTTGTGTCGTTGTAAGTCGCGCTTGTGCACTGCTTGATGAGGATTCCGCGCGTATGACAGCGAGCGCAGCTTCTTTTGAGCTGCTCTGTGCGAGCGCATCGCCTTTTGCCACACTTTGCCCTACTTTAGCCTCTAGTGAAACAAGTTTACCCGAAACATTGGCAAATACTTTAACTTCGGCGTTGGGTTGTAGATGTCCGGTGTAGTCCTTCGCGGAGACAAATGTCCCACGCCTTGGTGTTGTAACGGACACAGTTACGGGTGATGCTGTGTTTTGCGCCACTACGGTGCTAACACTGAAGCAACAGATAGTGACGAGAAGCCATAGTACCTGTGTTTTTAAAACATATTTACTGCTCATTTTTGAGTTTTTCCTTAAAATCCTTTGTGAATTTTCGCATCTTCGGATGGATTACAAATTGGCAATATGGCTGCCTTGAATTCAATAGAAAATAGTTTTGGTGATAATCTTCGGCAGGATAGAAGGTGTCAATTGGCGTGATCTCTGTGACAATCGGATCGTCCCACATATCGGATTTATCCATCTCTGTTTTAGATTGTTCGGCGATTTGCCGTTGTTCTTCTGTGTGATAGAAAATTACCGAACGGTACTGAGTGCCGACATCAGCCCCCTGTTGATTTAACGTTGTCGCATCGTGCGTGTGCCAAAGAACTTCCAACAATTCCTCGTAAGAGATAACCGTCGGATCGAATCTAATCTGAATCACCTCGGCGTGTCCCGTCATCCCATACAGACTGCTTGATAGTTCGGGTTGACGGTGGTACCGCCGGTGTATCCTGAGACGACCTCGTGAACGCCTTCCAATTGCTGAAAGACTGCCTCAACACACCAAAAACAGCCTGCACCGAATGTCGCTGTTTCTAATTGCATCTTTTTGTTAACGGTTTTCGCATCGTGGCGAACCCGTGCTTCTCCTTTTATGTCTTGTAACGTGGATTTGCTGGCGAGGTTTCTGATCTCGCCTTTCTTCGCTTTGCAACCTTATATTATTTGAAATGGCAGAGCCATTCAGTTTTCGATTTTTACCGATTTTAGGGAAGAGTCGCGACGGGGAGGTCGCTCCTACAGCGAAAAGCCTACCAACAGAAAATCGAAATTAAGGAAAACTGAATACGTCTGCTTGAAATAGCACTGTAACTTGCAAAAAGCAGGAAGTTGTGGTATATTTGGTTCTATGCAACGCCTTCTCTTCATCCCCATATTTCTCTGTCTGATAGCATGTCAATCAGAGGAACAGCGGGCAAAGACGTTTGTTGCCCAGTTTGGTGCAACGGATGCCGCTCGCCGTACTGAAGCGTCCGAAGCTTTAGTAGCAATAGGGTCCGAGGCGATTGATGCCCTCATCCAAGGATTATCCGATGAGAACCGGCAGGTTCGAGAGATGTCGGCGTGGACACTCAGCGAAATCGGGGTTCCTACTGCCCGCGTCGCGCCTGCTCTTATTTCAACCCTCGCCGATCCGGACGAAAATATTCGCGTCGTCGGTTCTGTCGCTCTACAGAATTTGGGTGAGCCTGCTGCACCGTATCTCATTGATGCCTTAAAAGCCGAATCAGCGGAGATTCGATTGAATGCGGCTTACGCGTTGGGCGAAATCGGCACACCGCTTGATACAATTCTTCCGGCACTCATTAGCACCCTTACGGACCCTGAGTGGAACGTCCGTCGTCTTGTCGTGCGTGCCTTGGTTAGGATAGGGACTCCCGCTATTGATCCGTTAATTCAAGCACTTAATTCGGATGATCCTGACCTTCGCCGTATGGCAGAGCGCGCTTTAAACGACATTGGTACTCCACAGGCACGCCGAGCAATCGCAGATGTGAAGCGACAATTTCCCTCTGATCGCTGAGGCTATTGAGATGAAACTGCCTGTCCCTCAATGCGGAGACAGTCATCCCAATAGGCAACAGCATACGTTTTCACAGGTTCAGGTTGTTGTGTCTGTTCGAGATACTTTGAAATCCAGTCGAGCAGCTGTTGCCGGAATGATTCTCGGATCTCACCGTCAACATAAGCCAATTGGTAAAAATCCTGACGTGTGTCTTCGTCTAAGTGAAAGTCAACTTGACGATAAAGCACAAGATTCGCTATCAATCCGATCGTGAGGTGTTCAATTGGATTCGGAAAAATACTGAGCGGCGGATCTAATGCGAACAGATTATCTAACGGCAAGGCTTTCACATAATCGCATCGGTTCTCTATGCATGCCAATTGTCGGTCAATCATTTCGATTTCAGCCAAATGGAGGAGCGGACGTGGGGTATCTGTATCTCTGATTGTCACCTGAAGCGTCCTAATGGAGGTCCGATATATCAGCAACGCCTTTAGAAATTCGAGTTCTGCTTGTGTATAGGTTTGGATGCCTTCAGTCTCTAAGTCGGTGTAAGTGGCACCAAGCGGACGCTCCTCATCTCTACTGGGTGGCAGAATCACGGCATGTTCTAAAAGATGGCGTGCTCTATCGAGCAATTTCTCCATTAACGTATTACCGATTTGGAAAAACTTAACGGTCCGGGTTTGGCGAAGTAGTTGAGCCGCTTTGTCCAGATCGCCTTTGCTGCCGTATTCCAACCCGAGGCTGGTGAGCGTAAAGGCAGTTTGGATGTGTGTCCGGAGTGCTGATTCATCGGAGAGGTCTGCTGTCTTCATTGTGATAAGTTTATGCGCAATGGCGGCAATACTTTGATAGAGTGCATCTGCCTGCTCGCGCGGAATGTGACCGAGGGTATCACCGTGCGCCAGTGCTCGTGCAAGGAATAACCGTCCGTCAAGGCTTGCCTCAGCGACGAGGGAAAACTTATTCGTCGTCATGGTCTTCCTCGTCCTCATCAAATGTAATCAAATCAAGGTCAACTTTTTCCATGAGGTCGGCTTCAGTGACATCAATACCTGCTGCCTTGTCGCGTTCGGTAACGCGTTCGGCTCTATCTGCTTGTGCGGCATCGAAAATAGCGGCAAGTTCTTCCTCAACATCGCCCTCGGTATCGATAGCGAAGAGTTCACTGATGAGTATTTCAAAGATCTCATGATCTGCTTCCCAGATAGCATCAGAGATTGCCTTGGCGCGTTCGTCGATGTAATCAATCGCTTGAGAAGTTGGATCCAGAAGTCCGCTTTCAAGAAGTAATCCAGCGTGTTCATCTTGAAGTTTGATGCGTCCGTGGAGGAGGGCTGCGAGTAGACGAATGTCTAACTCTCTGAGGAACCTTCCGAGGTCATCTCGCTCACATTCAGCAAGCTCAAATAGCCAGAGGTCCAATGATTCTTCATCAAGTTTTCCATCGCGCCAGACGGCAATGTCTAACAGTTCCTCAAATTGATCGTTTGAGAGACAGGGCAATAGTGCTGAGGCGAGACCTGTGCCTAACATTGTGTCCAAAACTTGGAGCACATCCTCAGTAGGGCTTTCCTGAATAAGTTCCGTGCAATCGGGCACAAGGTAATAGATTTGCTCCCGTGCTCTCGGGTTGCGGGTTGCACTGAGAATCTCCAATTGCTGTTGTTTTTCGTAGCTTTGAAAGAGTTGCTCTGCTTGACGCGTCGGTAGGGACAGCAGCTTCTTACTTTCGGAGCGTGGGACTATCGTTTTTGGACTATTCATTGCCAACTCCTCCATATAAGACGGGTTCCGATGTTGAAATGTACAAATCTCCGGTAACAGATGGCATTTTTGCGATTGCCTCAAAAATTGTTCCTCACGAAATTGAGGTTTTTTGCAGCGGACGCAACTGGATCGTCTTTGCCGGGTGTTTCGAGTACAAACCAACTATCGTATCCTACAGCATGCGCGGCATCAAAGACTGCGGGAAAGTCAACATCACCCTCGCCAGCGTGATTGCCACCAGTGTCCTTGATGTGCATCTGCGTGATTGCGGTCCCTAAACTCCGAATTTCAGATGGTGAATCGTAGCCGAACCCGGTCGCGTTCCCCATATCGTAATAGACACCAACGGCTGATGAACCGACATTATCAATAATTTGTTGATGTTGTTCCGCGCTGAGTGTTGATTCGATTGCCAGAAAGACCGCATGTTTTTCAGCGGTTTCCGCAGCGGCTTTGAGTCCATCAATAAACCGTGGCGCGTTGATGTGGTCATCTTGGATCTGTCCGCCTCCGAAAAAGGGTACCAGAATCACCTTCGCACCAAGTTCTGGAGCAATCTCTGCGAGATATTGCAACTTCGCAATCCCCTCGCTGCGTGTGCTGTCAGTCGGATGCATAAACGAAAAAGCGGTGAAACCACCCGGTGACAGTGAGGAGACCTCAACGCCGGCAGCCGCTGCCAAACTATTCACCTGATCAATCCCGCCATCCTGCCAGAGTGGATGTTCACGGTAGTTGACTCCCATGCAAAGTTCGATGCCATCGAACCCAATATCTTTTGCTTTCTGAAACGATTCTTCAAAGGAAACGGGTAGCATCCCGTCCCGAATACCTACCTTCATAATCTGCCTCCCAAAGGAAATAATTTACGATTGAGACCGAATTTCGATTAATTCTGAATTTTAACATAATCGTAACACGAATTGCAAGGCGATCTGCAATTTTTTTCGACTAATTGTTAAGTACGAAATAGCGAGAAAAAAGTTGAATTTTTCCTATTGATGTGCTAATATAACCCAAGTTGCCACCTAAAAGATTATAGAGGTTCAGATTTCATTCTCGCTTGAACCGTATGTAGATTCCCGCATTTTGAAGTCATACACAGATTTAACTTGACTTATAAATCGAATTCGCGTATAATCACCCATATAAAGACGTAATTTTTAAAAAATTACAGATTAAAATTATGTCTTTATTAAGGATTTTGCAATTAATCAGCATTTTTTGCTTGGGTAGCAACTTGGGTTAATATATATGAAATTTATCACTTGTACTACGGACGGAACCAAGCGTTATTTGAGAGAAGAAAGAGTTCACTCAACATTGACAGGGACTGTTCTGTACAAAAAAAATAGAGAGGATATGTAATGAAACGGATTACATGTATAGTTGCAATTTTGCTTCTGTCAGCATGCCTCATTCCCGGCGTTTTCGCGCAAACATTGATGAGCGATGAATTCGCTGGCAGCGGTCAAGACCTTCAATCCTTCTGGCAAGTCAAAGATGGCGATAAAAGCCCGTGGGAACTGAAAGGTGGTATGCTCTCTGCTGAGGCTGGCTATAACCAGAATGTATGGACTGACGATACAAGCACACGGTTCTTTCAGGTAACCGACCAGCAAGAATTCGACATTGAAACGTCAATGGTTGTTGACTACGGTGACGCTTCTACGGTTGCCGGTCTTATCGTTTATTCAGCTACAACAAAGGATCACCAGGACCGTGATGGTCAGTGGGTGACGCTGAAGTTGTGGGGTCGTGGTGCTGCGCAAGGCAACAATGCGGTGCTCCAATACCAACGTCGTCAAAATGATGATGCCGCTTTGGGATATGTCGGCACACAAGCGGATTACAACCCAGCACAAGGTGTTATCCCCATTGAACTGCGCCTTAAGCGCGAAGGCGACGAGTATGAAGCATGGTTTAAGCCAAATGCGGAAGGCGATTGGGTTTCCGTCGGTCGAGTCACAAACGAACTCCAAGATCCGGTTGAAGTCGGCATCTACGTTGGTGTTGCCGATGCCGAAGGCACGGGCCAAATGACGGTCACGTTTGACTACTTCCGGGAAGCATCAAGCCCCGCAACCCCAGTTGATCCGCGCGATCGACTTGCAGTCACATGGGGTGAATTGAAAAGACAGTAGCAGCAGACCCTGTTTGCAACTTTTCCAAATCGCTGGCGGTTCCCGATGCCGCCAGCATTTTTATGGAGACACAGTTTGAAAATAGCAGCTATTCTATCGCTTATCGGCGTTGTGATGCTTTGCAGTATGCTTTCCGTTGAAGCGGCACCTTCTCTTGGCGATCCGTTTGATGGAAACGCTTTGAAAAATCCAAATTGGAAGTGGAAAACTTCTGACGAAGCAGGCGTTGAGCCGAAAAAATGGGACATGGGCAAAACGAAAGCCGGATGGCTTCACGTCACAGGTGAACTGAATCGGAATCTCTGGCCCTCGGACACAACGAACCGACTCTATCAGGAACATGAAGGTAATTTTGATGTAGAAACGCATCTCTATATGAATTACGAAGATGCCTGTGTGGTTGCAGGTATCGCTGCCTATTCGCCAACAACGAAGGACCGTCAAGGTCGCGAGGGTGAATGGGTAACGATTAAACTTTGGGGACGCGGACCCGCAAACGGAAATAATGCCGTTATCCAGTACCAAAAACGGCAGTTTGATGGTGGCGAAGGACTGGCCGGCACCGTTCCCAATTTCCAAGACCCAGCGGGTGAAATGGATATTTACATGCGACTCCGCCGTGAGGATAACACCTTCACAGCGTGGTGGAAACGGAAAGCGAACGATCCATGGATTGACATCGGCGAAACCGAACAGGAGTTTGATGAACCGCTTGAGGTAGGCATTTACGCCGGTATCTGTGATAGTAAAGGCAAACAGATTGCACAGTATGAGTACTTTGAAGACCTTCTCGTGCCATTTGATGTTTCGCCTCGTGCCAAATTGCCAATCGCTTGGGGCGACCTAAAACGAAGGCATAGCGTGCCGGGGTCTCGCTAATTATCTTAGACTATATGGAAGATCTTCTCGGGGGCCAAACACCTCAACCGCCCAATCCGGAGGAAGGTTTTTCACCCGATGTTGAACGGCAATTAATAGCATTAGTTTTTGCAGAGCGGGATGCAGAAGTATTAGTTCACGGTTATATACCTCCGTTCTGTGTGAAGCACCGTTTTGAAGTAGAATTCTCGCTATCAGATTTGCCTTCTTCGTAGGAGAAACTATAATGAGCATGTATGAAATTCGTAGTGTTGATCTAAAAGAAGTGTCAGGCAACGATTTCATCAAGTTCCTGAGGATAGAAATACTCCAAAGGAAGGGCTATGGTCCTGGCCGCTTCGGTAGAGTTCGGTACGCTTTAAACGGGGAGCACGATGAACAAGAAAACGGCTTGCCGATGGACTTAGGCAAGGGAATTTTTACCGCAACGCTTGAGGATGAAGAGCTTGAAGAACTCGGCGAAATCTCTCGTGAAGACTTGGAGAAGACTTTGCAAAAGGCGGCAGTAGAAATTATTAAGATTGTCCGGAAAGAATTGGGACAAGAACCGGATACTGCTAGTATTCTTAGACGTATTTTAAAAGATTATGCTTATCTAGCGTATGATGAAAGCTCCTCTAAACCGCCCGATGTTTTGAAGTGCCGTGTTACCAAGCCCAAAAGTCCACGGGATGTAGAAGATATTTTTGAAATAGCCGATAGATTACGCATCGCCACCGGCGAGAATTATATAGTAGCATACGGTGGTTCCTCTAGCCCTGGGGATAACCCTGATGAAGCCTGGAGCAGATTCTCTTTAAGGAAGTTCGATTTTCGAGAAGCTAAACCCAACGGAACATGAGGGATTTGGGAGGAAAATGAAACGCTCATGCCTTATAGTCGGGCTTTTTTTTACTGTCTGTAGCGATTTCGCTATTGCCGAAGTGAACGACGTAGCCCAACAAATCCTTGCTACTATAGAATGGGTCTCTATCCCAGAAGGCACGTTTCTGATGGGGTCAACACCTGAAGCAGCAAACGCCGCATACAAGGATGCGAAATTGCGAAGCTCCATGCTCGAACAGCACACCTTTGATGCCGAACTGCCACAACATCAGGTTTATCTGAGTGCTTATGAAATCTCGCGATATGAGATCACCAACGCTCAATATCGAGCCTTCATTGAGGCAATGAACCGTCCTACACCACGCGGACACAACGGTGAAGATACATGGGCAGATGAATCGCTCAATGAGGATACGCAACCCGTTGTCGGTGTGACATGGTTTGATGCGCAAGCGTTTGCAGAATGGATTGGCGGAAGTTTGCCGACTGAAGCACAGTGGGAGCGCGCCGCGTGTGGCACAGAGGCACGAATATACCCATGGGGAAACACACCGCCGAAAGCGCGTCAGCATGCCAACTTCGCACGTCGCTACAATCGTCCGATACCAGTAGGACAATTTCCGAAAGGTGAATCGCCGGACGGTATCGCGGATCTCGCCGGGAACGTTTGGGAATGGTGCCTTGATGAATACAGTCCGACAGCCTACCAGCGAAACGGGAAAGGTGTGTCTGAAAATCCGCTCAACCTCCGTTTCCGAGATGTACTTCGCTCAAGAGTGATCCGAGGGGGTGCGTGGGATGTCGGCAGAGCGTTCCTCCGTTCAAGTTTGCGGTTCAAATTTTATCCTCTGGATTCAACACATACAATTGGGTTTCGGGTAGTTCGTCCACGCCCAGAAATCAAAAACTAACCTACCTATCATCATGTTCCAACGAAAACACTACTTGTTCCGTCTGTTAGTCCCTCTTTTCCTCTTCATGCTTCCACTGCTTGGTAGTAGTGAACCTTATTTTCGCGACGTAACCGATGCTATGGGACTTGATTTCAAGCATATCAACGGCTTTTCCGCGGAACGCCGACTCGTTGAAACGATGGGCAGCGGCGGTGCTCTCTTTGACTTTGATAACGACGAAGACCTTGATCTCTACCTCGTTCAAGGCAATTCACTTTCTGCATCAACAGAACCACCACCGCAAAATCGACTCTATCGAAATGATGCTGGTGTTTTTGTTGACATCACGGCATCTGCAAACGTCGGTGATACCAGCTATGGACTCGGTGCTGTCGCTGCGGATTACAATTCTGATGGGTACCGCGACCTATACGTAACGAATTTAGGGAGCAATGTGCTTTACCTCAACAATGGTGATGGCACATTTACCGATGTAACTGAGCAAGCACAGGTAGGTTGTCCGCTACTGAGTGCGAGTGCCGCGTTCGCTGATATTGATAGGGATGGTGATTTAGATCTCTATGTATGCAACTACGTCGAATACGCGCTCGAAACCGATATCCCGTGCTATTACAAGAACACCTTGCGCATCTACTGTGGTCCCAATGAATATCACGGCATCGCCGATGTGCTTTACCGTAACAACGGTGATGGCACATTCACAGATATTACCGAAGTCGCTGGTGTCTATGAACCGACAACGCGTGGGTTAGGCGTTGTCTTTACAGACGTAAATAGCGATGGGTGGTTGGACATCTACGTTGCAAACGATATGTCTCCGAATACACTTTTTATCAATCAGGGCGACGGGACCTTTCAAGAGGAAGGTGTCCTCCGCGGGGTTGCCTACAACGGCGACGGCTTGGCAAACGGGTCAATGGGGATAGACGCAGCGGACTATGATAACGATGGTGATATTGACCTCTGGGTATCAAATTTTTCGTTGGAGGCGAACTGCCTCATGCAGAATGATGGCGACGGCTATTTTGAGGATGTGACGTTTGACACAAACCTCGCTGATCCGTCTTTCTATTCACTCGGGTTCGGTACCCGTTTCATTGACTTCGATAACGACGGGTGGTTAGATATACTCGTCGGAAATGGACATATCTGGGACAATGTGAAGCAGATTGACGCGAAGATGAGTTACGCGCAACCTGTGCAACTATTTCATAACCGAGGTAGCACCTCAGAGAACGATGTAGTGTTCACTGAAATTACCGCTGAAGCGGGTTTGAATGAAACGCCTTATTATGTAGTACGCGGCATGCTTTTCGGGGATATAGATATGGATGGCGATGTGGACGTTGTTTTGTGTCAATCGAACCGTCCGACGGTTATCTTGCGTAACGAGGTCGGGAATGCGAACGCGTGGCTAACGGTGAAATTGGTAGGTGCAGATGGCAACACCGATGCGATTGGTGCGCGGGTTCAATTGGAAGCAGGCGGGACGACATTTTTAAGAGAGATCGTCTGTGGCGCAAGTTATCTGTCAGGCAATGACCTCAGCCTCGTCTTCGGGTTAGGCAGTGTCTCACGCATAGATAGTTTCAAGATTCGCTGGCACAACGGAGAGGTTCAGCAATTAGGTGAAGTACCGATTCGCCAGTCTATAACATTTTCACAGGATTGACACAGTCTTTTGCCAATGCTATAATACACAATTATGAAGATTGTTGAAGAAAGGGAGGCGTGGATTCACACGCACTTCATCCTTGATAGTTTTTTCATCACGGATCAGGACGTCGGCAGATTTCTATCAGCGTCGAGCCGGAACTGATGCAATTAGGGATCCAGTATGGGCTGACGTATGACATCGCGCCATCAAAACATCGCGCTATTATTGTTCTTGAATGTATACCTTTCGACTCGGTCAAAGCGGTCATCAAACAATTGATCGATGACGTGATTAAAGATTTTCCGGTCCGGCTCCCTGAACAGCGGAACGTTGTTAGGAATATCACGGTTGCTGATCCAGAGAGCAGTGAACCGGGGAATTCAGAACCATCTCAAAAGTTTTCTTGATGAGGTTTTCAGATATTTCAAAGGAGACAATTATGCGGATTATTCTAACGACTTTTTGCCTTATTCTATTGCTTTTTTCAACCGTTGCAAATGCCAAAATTGTCTTTGGGTCTAGACGCGATAGTGGTTCTGGAATCTACGTCATGAACGACGATGGCAGTAACGCAACGCTACTGACCAATAAACTGGTGCGTAATTATCCGCATCATCCGCGGTGGTCGCCGGACGGAACGCAAATTATATTTCGGATGCAAGTGAATCCGCCTGAAAATCGTGAGTGGCATCTTTTCGTGATGAGTGCTGGTGGCACAAATGCTCGTCCGATCACTGAGCGACACACTGGGATAGATGACGAACCTTCAATTTCACCAGATGGAAAGCGGGTTCTTTTTACAAGATCTACATTCAAAAAGCACTGCACAAACATACTGGATTTAGAGAGCGGTGAGATTATTCAACTGTCCGACATCGTCGCTAACGCATCAGATTGGTCACCGGATGGTAGGCAAATTGTTTTCGCAAGCCCCTCATTTGCCAATGCCGGTGGTCCTGCTGCGGATATCTGGATTATGGATGCGGATGGCGAAAACGTACGGAAACTGTTGCCACCGCCGGCTGTTGAGGGCAGGATAATTGATCGTAGGACCCCCAGGTGGTCGCCGGATGGGAAACAGATACTTTATACCGAAACCGAGTATACATTTGAGAACAGAGGCAATATATTAAATATAGAATTCCTTTTTCTGAAGGCGAATCGCTATTTAATTTGTGATCAAAACGGCGAACACATACTTCAGTTGAGCATCTCAAAGAAGTGGAAGTCTCAAGATATTGATTGGATGGATAACGGTGAATCCGTACTTTTGAGTGCGGCAGAGCTTAAGCTAAACAAACTTATATTAAACGATTACCACCACTATAATATCTATAAGTATAATATTGCAACAAAGAAGATAACCCGATTGACGGATCACCCCGGAAGTGATTATGAGGTCGATTGGGTTAGCGGTTATACGTTGCCGGTCTCCCCAAAGGGTAAGATGCAAACGCAATGGGGTCAGATCAAAAAAGGTACGCCGAACCCAAAGTGATCCTTAACTTAGGCAACGTTGGTTGAAATAAAGAACACGGAATATCAATGTCCAAGCCCCGGCGCGGTGAGGACCTCTGTTCCGACAGTACCGTCGGTGATGTTGAAGATTGATGGAAATTCATCTCGCCAACCGTCATTGGCACCCGGACAAAATTGGCGGGAGTTGCCTTCGATAGCCGTCACGCCCGGGATACGCGCAGCGAGTCCGGCAGAGTGTAAGAACGATGCACCGGGACACGTCAGGTCCTGTACGGCGAGGAACATACCGTATTCTGCGGCGGCGGCACCCATCAGCAATGCCTGAGACTGCCCTTTACACGCCTTGAGTGCGACACCGGAATACCCTTGCTCACGTGCCAATAGGAAGGTCTCGAAGTCGGTCAATGATTCGTCTATCACCACAGGTTTTATCTCAGCGGCTTTGTGCATCCTATTTTCGGGGTGTGCCTTCAGATCTCGATCGGTTGGTTGCTCGATATAAGCAAGGCGTTGGAAGGCGTTACTGTCTGCCTCTTGAATCTGGTTGATAAATTCCAATAGATATTCAACGTTCTGGCATGTTTCATTGAAATCAGCCGAGTAGTGCCAAATGTCAATTCCGCGTTTCGCTTGTGTTTCCGCGGTGACTTTATCAATTGCGAGGACGCGTGCTACGTCCCAGTCGAGATCGTCGCCGTTCAGTTTAATTTTCAGGTGCGTCAATCCATCGGCGACAATCCATTCAGGGAGTGTCTCCGGTAGACCGTCATTGAGGCGTTCTGCGATATCAGCGTCGGTGAGAGGATCCAGCGCGCCGATAAGATGATAGAGCGGCATGTTAGGTTTCGGTTGGCGTGAAGTATATTGGTCGAGATATTTTCCGGTGAACTGTTCATTCAAAAAGTGAGATAGATCTGCCTGAATGAAATCTTCACTTAAGCCGTCGTAACTATTGATACCGTTTGCTTTCCCGAACCCGTCGTGGATCGCGGCATCGATGGGGCTTGTCGTAACGACAGCACAAAGTTTCGGCATCGGCGATGCGAGTTGCATATCGTGAGACAACACATCGGCGATTCGTAAGAATTCGGGTTCAAGCACTTCGGAGAGTTCGAGTGGATGTGCGCATAATTCGCAATCTTGTGTTGCGTCTACTGCTAATTCGGCGAGTTTTTTCATTGCCGGGAGGCTCTGGTCGAAAGGTGCGTAGCGCGGTGGAAATGCCCAGACATTGCCGAGTGGCATCGAGCCTTTGCCTTCTGCTTCTTTTCCGTCGCGCGTTTGAACGTGCATCCGAACGTTAAAGAGGACGCAGTGATCTGTCGGCACGCCGCCGAACTTGAGTGGGGTGCGGTATTGGTGTTCTTCAAAATCGTAATGAACGTCAAGGATGCGGATATCTGTCGGTTTTGGCATAATTTCCTCATTGCAATGTGTGTTTTCTTTCATAGTAACCGATTTTCTACGACACGTCAAGCAATTTCTCTGTTTCCTGCCTATAACCAAACGGAGGCTTTCTTCAATGACACATAACGCAAAAGTCCAAGAACTCACTTCACTTCTCGATAAACATCAGACGTATCGGGACACCTGTCTCAATCTCATCGCTTCGGAGAACACACCTTCGCCGTTAGTAGAAGAACTCTTCGACGAACGGTTGGCGCGGCGGTATGGGAATTATTCTGGCATTGACCTTTACCAGCGGAATTACAAAGGCAACCGCTATATTGCCGAAATAGAGGCGTACACGCAGGCGTTAGCAAAGGAGCTTTTCGGTGCTGCGCACGTCGATTTCCGCCCATTATCAGGGAACATCGCAGGGATTGCAACCACGTTCGCGTTAGCGGAGCCGGGCGATACGGCGTTAGAGGTTCATAACGGACACCACTATGCTCAAAAACTGCTGTCTTCACCACTCAAGATAGAACTCCAATCAATTCCGATTCCGTGGGACGGACCGCGTTCAAACATTGACCTTGATGCAACACTTGCGCTAATTGCGGAACACAAGCCCAAAATCGTCAACGTCGGCTCCGGCGTGTTTCTCTTCCCGCAACCCGTACGAGAGTTGAAAAAGGCGATGCGCCAAGCGAATCCAGATTCCTACCTCATCTACGATGCCTCACACGTCATCGGACTCATTGCCGGTAAGCGGTTTCAGTCGCCCTTTGAAGAAGGCGCGGATGTGATCATTTCCAGCACGCATAAGACCCTTGCCGGACCACAGGGAGGAATGGTTTTAACCAACGATAAATCTATTGCTGAGCGAGTTGCGAGGGGTGTCTATCCGTTACTGATGAGCAATCACCACCTGAATCGGCTCCCGGCGTTAGCAGGAACATTTATAGAGTGGATGGAATGCGGTGAAGCACAAGCAGATGCGATTGTTGCGAACGCAAAAGCACTCGGTCAAGCGTTAGTGGAACGCGGTGTCCCGATGCTCGGTGCCGACCTCGGGTTCACGGAGTCGCATACCTTGATACTGATTGTAGATAAGTATGGGGAAGGCGGCGCGCTTGCGACACATCTGGAGGCATGCCATATTATTGCAGGCGCGGCAGGATTATCACCGGAAGTCGGAACATCAGGATTGCGTATCGGCGTTCAAGAGGTCACCCGCTGGGGGATGACACCGGCGGATGCACCGGACATCGCGGCATGTATTGTCTCAGCACTTTCCGGTGGGACTTCTGAAGAACTCAAGCCGGAGGTTGCAAAAGTAGCATGTCGTTTCGATACAATCCTGTTCACCGTCGAGTAAAAAGAGAAGCGTATAAACAAGTAGGACTTGACGCTACTTCACCGCTGGCGAGGTGTTTTTGCTTAGGTGTTTCCCCTAGTATCCTCGCCTCCCCGCAATGTCCAAATCTTTGTGGATTTTACCCATCCGCGAATTTTGTCAATTTGGGTTCAGAGGATATAGATATACGTTAGGAATGAACCCGCCTTCCAATCTTTCAGTCTTTCTCCTTCCAACCCATACTTTTATAGTAAAGCCACAATTAACTATACACTCACAAAAGGCGGGGTTCCAAACCCCGCCTGCAAAGGAGTGGGTTGTTGCGAACCAAAGTGTAAACATGTTTTTGGGCTTTACTATAATGGCATTCATACCGTTGATTTGGGGCTTGGTGGGTTGTGGTGCTTGTGCTGCTATACACATATCGTCTCTCTGAGACTGTTGTATATCAGCACCAGCGGTGCGATATGTGCGATTATTGAAATCGGGGTTGAAAACTCCTCCCACAATGTAAGAGTTAATCGTGGATATAATCCCCTCCCACAAGATGCACAATCTGGATGAAGTTTAAAGAGATAATTCGGTAATTGACGTGCGATGAATCGCCCTACTACGAACGGGTTTCCTTGTAGGCCGGCTTTTTATAGCGCATTCGGCAATTACCGATTTAAATACTTAATCTTCATGAAGATTGTGCTACAGAACGTAATTCTTGAGACTAAATAACGCTGCGGGTATAAAGTATATGTTGTAATAAAATGGCAGATTTGATAATCTTAGGAGATACAACAGTGGGACAGAATGGAGGTAAAAATGCGTTCACCCAATATAATTTTAATGATGTGCGACGACCTTGGATATGGCGATGTGGGATTTAACGGAAATGAAATTATCAAAACTCCGAATTTGGACAGGCTGGCGAGTAATGGGATCCGATTTACGCGGTTTTATGCGGGAGGACCGGTCTGTTCCCCGACGCGGGGGACGTGTTTGACCGGGAGACATTATTTTCGATACGGCATAACACATGCCAATCGTGGGCACTTACCCGCACAGGAAATGACAGTGGCGCGAATGCTAAAATCGTTTGGCTATGCAACCGGACATTTTGGAAAATGGCATCTTGGAACGCTGGACCCGAATTATTCGGGGAAGCCTAATCGTAATCCGGCACGTAATTACGCGCCGCCGTGGGAGCGGGATTACGATGCGTCTTTTGCCACGGAGTATGCAGTTCCAACTTGGGATCCCGCAGTAGGTGTCCAGAGTGGTGGTAGACGTTCGGACCGCCCGTGGGCATCACCTTACTACGAGAATGGAAAACTGGCTACGGAGAATCTAAAAGGATGCGATTCCCGGGTGTTGATGGATCGCGCAATTGCATTTATTGCACAAACGCTTGAAAAGGGCGAACCGTTCTTTACGACAATCTGGTTTCACGCGCCTCATACCCCAGTCTTTGCCGGACCGGAATACCGCAAAATGTACGCCGAATACAGCGAAAATGAGCAACACTATTACGGCTGTATTACCGCAATAGACGATCAGGTGGGACGGTTGTATCACACTTTGGCAGCATGGGGCGTATCCCAAAACACGATGATCTGGTTCTGTTCGGACAACGGACCCGAAGGACGCACAGGTCAGAATGGTCGTAACCGGGGCTCAACAGGTGGCTTGCGCGGACGCAAACGTTCTTTGTTTGACGGCGGTGTGGGCGTGCCTGCACTATTGCACTGGCCGGGTCATGCAGACCCCGGACGTGTGGTGGAAATGCCGTGCAGCACCCTGGATTACTTCCCGACAATCGCCGAAACCATGCAATTTGAAATGCCCGATAATCGCCCCATTGACGGTATCAGTCTGCTACCGACCATTGAAGGAAACATGACAGAACGTCCGACCCCTATTCCGTATCGGTTCAATAGTGGAAAAAACGCGATGTTTCACGCACCGACCATCGCTATGATGGATAACCGATATAAGTGCTTGACCAATCTATCAAATGATGGCAGCGAAGATTTGTGTTTTGATATGATTGAAGACCGCGCAGAAACCATCAACTTGGCAGATGAACAACGCGAGCGATTAGGGCAAACCCGCAAGTCCCTGCGTCAATGGCTCCGCTCATGTAAGGTTAGTCATAATGGTGGGGATTATGATGAGGCGTTTGAACCTGTTGCGCCGTTTGAAGATGTCACAGGAGATTGGTTGTCAAGAAGAAACAGAAATTAGTCAGGGCTATAAAACGAAGCATCCGCGCGGAAGGTGTTGATGGCGCGAAACGCTTTTATCCATGTCTCTTGGGTCAAGTTTTTTGCGGTCTCAGTATCTTTGATACGCCCCAAAATGTGCGTATAGAGACGGGACTGGTACGTCGTGACAAGTGGGGGTAAACGCCTCGGTGTCGCCGTGTTGGGTGCGTTCAATAAAGTGTCTTTCGTTGAAGTGGGACAACCTTGTGTCTCCTTCATTTTAGCCAAGGTCTGGGATTGAGTCTTAGTTTTCTCTGTTTTCCAGTTTTTTCAAGTGTTACCTGCTTGTTTTGGATGTCAATGACGGTGGTGTCCGCGTCAAGTGTATCCCCGCGTGTGACAGTGTAGGTCGTGTTGCTATGTGTTGTTTGAAGGATGGCTTGCGCGCCCATTTTTCCGTCTGTCGGGATGATCGTTCCGATAAGGCGGTAGGGTTCTTGTGGACGTGGGGGCCGCCACCCCAGCGGACGAAAAAGGTTATTGTCAATGATCGTGCGATAGAATTCGGGGTTTTGAGACTGCATTAAGGTGTCAGATCGGCGTGTGCGCGTGCCGTTGAAAGTGTTTGTTTTCCGTTGTGCCTGCTGTTTGCTATAAATATTCCGTTGTGTTTCGACCTGCACCGGCGGATTTGGTGTGTGTCCGTGTGTCTGCCAGAGCCAGACGAATAGCGTTATCAAGAAGCCAGAAATCGTAATATATTTTAAATGCTTTCGGAACATTGGGGTCTCCTCTCGAGAAAAAACGGGAGTCTCCATTTAGCAGTATATAAGTCGTATGACTATGGGAAAACTGCCACTTTCGGATGAAAGAAGTGATTTTTTTGGAAAAATAGACTTCCTCTTTCTTTGAATTTGCTTTTATTCGTTGTAGTTACCGTTGTGTAGTCTGGCATCAATACGTCCTTTTTGCCACCGAGGGTTTTCAGTTAAAGTTACACCCTTTGGAATTTTACCTTATGGCACTGAGTCAGGGATTGACACAGGGATATTAAAGACAGCGCGATGCACCTTCATGCCTCTTTTGAACCTCGGTTCGGGGAATGCTCCTTCTTCAAACCATTCGGGGAGACGTGTATCGTTTAGAAATGACACCACAATCGGCGGATATTCAGAAATGGGTGTGTCTGGAAAGAGGTCAAACATGCTCATTCCAGACCTCTTTTCTACTTCGGTAACGGTTTTAGGAAACCAGACGCCCGGTTCATACTGTGCCAGTTGATACGTCTTGATGTTACAATGGACCCCTATAAAAAGTTCTTCTGGCGGATTGAAAATATTCAATTTTCTCAAGGGCCAGAGACGCCCCTCATACGGTATAAACTCAGCACCCTTTTCACATGTCACTATGCGAGTCACATGAAATTCTTTCTGTGGATTCATCCAGATTTCACGTGTAAACGTTGCGTATCGCGCAAATCCATCTTTTTTTTCGCCGCTGTATCCTTGGAGATAGTAAAGGGGGCTGCCATCCATTTCAACGGTTTGTACATGCACCGGTTTGTATGGATGCATGAACGTTTCAAAGGGGTCTTTGCCTGTGACAGGTGTGTCTGTCTGTGAAAACCCTATCCACCAGCGAGGGCTGAATCTTTTGTCAAAAACGGGACCTGTTGCGGTTTCGACATACGGTTTCCATGTCGCACCGTCCCGCAGATACAATTTCTCCCTGTATATCAGATATTGGTGGTGTGTCTCCCGCCAGATATGGTGGGGCGAGTAGGTCTTCCGTCTTTTACTCGGATGGAGATAGAGTTTCCGTTTATTTCCCGCTTTTTCCGTGCTTTGACATCAAAAAATTGGGTGTCGCCGTCGAACTTGTAGGTGATATGCCAATAGCCGATATCCTCATACGCGGGGGCTTTCTCCGCTTCTTTGGAGTGTAGCAGGGCATCCCATTTGGATTCTAAAAAATTGTAAAAGGGAGAGATGCGTATCTGCCCCGTGTTTTTGGCGGAGTGTCACCGAGAATTCAATTTCGCCACTTTTCAATCGGGCATTGTATGCGTTAACTTCTGTTTTGATGCGTTCAAGCACTCGTCTGGATTCAGTGGAGAGTGGGGCGAAGCACTCTATGGTGCTTGCCCCTTCTGTTTTGATGCGTTCAAGCACTTGTTTGGATTCAATAGAGAGTGGCATGAAGCCGGTCCGAGGACGGCTCCATGCGGGCGGTGATACACTCAGCAAGAGAATAAAAAGAGTTGTGAGCGTACACAAGACCTTGTCTTTAGAAATGAAAGGCATAAGTAACCCTCAATATCGCAGGAAAGGCATCTTCTGTACGCCTTAAAAAGCCCTGCTTCGTTTATCACCGCTTCACTTACCACCGCTTCGCTGTGGACTTTTCATTGATAGCACTAAGAGTAGCGTTCGCATTACAATTGGACAACTTTCCCCGTGCGTTCGGTGCTCCCGTATCCCATTTAAAGCCACTCGCGTCAACATACCTATAGACGTCACCATTTATAAGTCCGCCCGCCGAATCACTATCTGTTCCCTTGATCCAGTCCGGCACGGAAGTATAGACAGACCAGGTACCTGTCCCTTCGCCCCACACTTTGGCATAGGCGTAGTAATAATAACCTTTTCGAAAAGGAGGCCATGAGGCCTCGGTGAAATACTCATAGTCAACGACAACTTCAATATTCGTACTGAGAAGTCCGTCTGAATCTGCGCCAACAGCTTTTACCCAGTCCGTTTGGTTTGCTCCGCGGAGTTCCTGTGTGTCGCGGTTATATGTTCTGCCGTTTACTGGGCCTCGCAGTGC